CAGAGGGTAATATAGATCACATCTATCAGTGTGTCTCAACATGTGAGTATATAATCAACTTTGTAGTTCATGCTCCAGTAATAATAAAAGACTAAAAATTGATATTTTTTCTAATTTTCATATTCAACTTTATACAATTATACTTATTTATCATATATAGACTTGGAAAGTTCAGGGTGACATTATAATGTGACTCACCAGAGTGTATGTTGCTAGGGATGTATGGTGTTATTAAGATATTAAAAGTGGACCAAGGACACTCTTTCTATAGTTTGAATGATGATGATGTCATAGAACTGCATACAGTTCTCAAATTATGTTTAGTTTACTAATATTGTAGTTTTCACTTCATTATTTAATTCTCCCCATGTGGGACAGTGGTAAGTCTATGGTTAGGGGTTCCATTTTTCTCTGTGGATGCAGCATATAGCCAAATGTGGCTTTGCTATAACAAATCATACACACACACACACTATATTAATTACGTATCCTAAAAAGTAACAATTATTATTTCAATGGGACAGTTAATATATTGGATTGTCTTCACCAACTTATAAAAAATTTATAGGTTTGAAACAGCTATTTGTGGTACAAATGGTGTTATTAAGGTATTGTAAGTGAACCAAGGACACTGTTTCTATAATTTTGAAGGGTGATGATGTCATAGAACTGCATACAGATCTCAAATTATGTTTACTTTTCTCACATTGTAGTTTTTACTTCATTATTTAATTGTCCCCCTGTGGGACAGCAGTAACCTTTTGTTTTAACCCCTGACCATAGGATGATCCATCGAGATAGGGTTAAACATTTTATTTTAAATACAGTCTGGTTACCATGTTTTTCATTGGTATGTAAATTTTGTTAGAAAATTTTAATGTGAGATGCTGGTTTAGTTGCAATTTTAATTTTACATTAAATTCGCGCATTTGGCTTTATTTGCACCACAAACAGCTGTTTCAAATCTATAAATTGTTGGTGAGTGAAGACAATCCAATATATTAACTGTCTCACTGAAATAATAATTTTTACTTGTAAAGGATTAATTAACTTTTTAGGATACCTAATTAATATAGTGTGTGTGTGTGTGTGTGATTGGGCTATCTACTGCATCCACTAAGGGGAATGGCACACCTGACTGTAGCATTGTATAACCACAATGTACATGTCTTCAGGTTTGTAGACTTTCATTAAAAATTTTGTAGAACTATTTTAGGAATGTATGTCAATAAGGTTGGTATCAAATTGCAGATTATAATTCATATTTTAGTATTATACATTAGTTATTTTCTTAATTTAAAAGTAAATATTCAAAACAATTCCTATATATCGATTTTTCTGTGTCACCTGATATTTTGAACGCAGCTTTGATTCAAATTAAATGTTTGTGATGCTGAAATACAAAGTATATAGTCTGTACGAAACTCAAATTACCGATATTGGCAAACACGGATATAAAATAAGAACTTCCTATCTTTACTATTTTCTGAGATATTATTACATTTAGTAAATCAACTAAGGTGGCCCCACCCATCTCTTCCATTTTTGGAAATGCTTGCTTAGGGACACCTACTTCGCTCACTGATGTGAGTATAACCAATTGAAAGCTCAGAATGCTCCCTAGGTGATTTTTTGAGACTATGCGAAGTGTTTACACCCGAAAGGTCTTTTCATGGTAGATTCTAAGCGGTAAGGTAAGTCACTATTGTCCTCGAAAAATCATATTTTTGAGATCCAAATGCATGATAAATTATAGTGGAATTCTGTTTTAATTATATAGTAAATTATGATTTTTTGTTATTTCAAAATACATATATAAAACCTGATAAACATATTTTGTTTTGCATCTTCCATGAGCAAAATTTAGTAAGGCTTAGTAAATTACGACACGCAGCAAACGAGTGCAAAGTTTACAACTGAAAGTAAAAAGAGATAATTTTCTATATTTCTTTACTGTTGTTTGTTTTAGGAAAAATAACTAAAATTTAATACCTTATTTGTAAATATGAATAATGTATATACATGTATAATGTATTATATCCGAAATATAATCGTATATTACAGAAATTGGTTCACCAAAACTGTGTAAAGGCCAGTTTTATACTATTGGATACCTTAAGTGAGTGCACTGCACGTGTAATGAAAGGTCAATAAGAGAAAAATAATATATATATATATATATGCATAATGTTATGAGATTTAAGCTGTTTAGACTAAACATTTGTCGTTTCGTGTTTTATTTTGTAATCATTCTAGAACGAAAAAAGCGTAATTACTATTTTCTTTTTTTTCTTTTTGTTTGTTTGGTGGTTAGGAGGTCAGTCAAATCGACCTAAACCATACAGAGGTACAACCTACAATAGTGAAAAAGCAGATAAAATACAAAGTTTTTTTCTAAAAATGTTTGATGATTATCTGAAGGATATAAAGATTTTGCATGTGAAATTTGACAATCTTCTGATGCATAAAAGTATTTTTAATCTTAAAGTCAAAATTACTATGAATGTTGGATAGTCAACATTGGAAAAGAAAAAATGCACAAGCAAATCATAACTTAACAAATCTTAAAACTTAATAAAAATCTGAAAGCCTTGTAATGTTTACTCATAGTCTTTAAATGTTTTTATACTACAAATAACGACCAGACATAAGGAACATGAAAACAAAAAGAGTTAAACATAAATAAACATATGCTTGAAACAACACCAAATAAAATAATTAATATAGAGAAAACCCCAAACTCAAGAAAAATTTAGAAGTTCTGGAATTGAAGAATTAACACATAACAATAATAAAACAACAAGAGCATCATTATATGTGTATTAAGTTAATAAACTCTAAAACCAGAGGGAGATAGTGTCATAAATCAAATTATTTGATTGGTTGTATTTGCAATTAGAATATATTTGTACCTTAAACATTGTGCTGATCATGTTTCACAGTTAGAGATGAAATGTTGTACACAATAAACTATTCACTTTTATCTCATAAACAGCTGTTTTAAAACTACATAACTAGAACTTATAAGGATGGAATTTGGACAGTTGTCTTGCTCATATCATATGCACGCACATTACTGCCAAGAGGATGATATTTGGATAGGATACAATATGGCAACACAATGGTTGTCTCGTTTGCATCACACACATGCGTATATCTATTACCTAGATAAAATATGGACAAAAATTAGATTTTGAAACATACCAAATCTTATGCTTATATTGATAATGAGTGATTCCGATTGCTGTTGAATGTAGAGTGTAAGAACTAGAAAGTAGAAGGGAATGTTGACATCCAGTATTATGATGGTTGATGAAATAGAGGAGGTATTGTGTTAACTTAAAGATAAACTAATGTGTAGTAAGTGTTCTTACAAGTTACACTTACAGGCTGCAAACAGTCTAAAAATCATGTACTTCTCAAATAGGAAATACTAAACGAACGTAACTCTCAAAATAATTGTTACATGATCTTACCAAATTATTGACATTTTAACTTTGTAAAAGACTTTCGAACAAAGAATTGGTCATCTGGAAACACAGTCATGTATTCATTCCAACAAATACAAAACCTTGTTACTTTTGAAAATAAAATTTGGTAAAATTCATAATTTGTGTGTTACAACTTACATTATGTGTACAGTGTAAGTAGTATGTGGAAAATTTTTCAAACGGTTTACTATTTCAGTTAGAAGCTTTTTTTTTGGAATGCTGATGCTCCTGGTGTTAGAGGGAACACCAGTGTTGTAAATATATTGTTGCTGAACTTCACTTTGCTTCTTGTCTTGTGATTCTGGTTAATTTTAATCATGTATTTACATTTTATGTTCTATATATCTCCTCTTGTAATATGGCTTTCTTTATTTCTTGTCAAAATTTTCTAGAGCAGGATGAGGTGCGAGTGCTCTCTCACTTAGTACTGTTGATTTTATCCTAAAGAAGTATAAGGTTTTTTTCTGTAACTAATAATAACAGTATTATGCTAGCAACAGACTTGTGTATAGTAGTAATAATGTTCAGCATAAAAATATTAACGTTGTGCTGAATTTGTTGTGGGAAGTAGTTGAACATTGAATTCATTTTAAGATATTCAGTTGATAAATTGCTTTTGAATATCTATTTATCTTTTTTACTTCTATTACATATAGTTTTGGTTTGATTATTTTTTACAATATTTTATATCTTAGTAAGATATAGTTTTAACAAGGATGGATTTTCTAAAGTAATGGTTCCTCAGCTATTTCATGCCACAACCCAGACATTTCTGGTATTAAAATATCATGTAACCACTGTTATAAAGGATTGTGTTTATGAACATGTGATAATCAACTCACATTCATTTGAATACTATTAAATACAAACATTTGTGATGAATATAATGTTTATGTTGATCGTTAAAACATTTAACAATGGTCATATTATTGTTTAATTACGCTGTCTGTCTGTTCAAGATTGTTGGCACTCAGAGACAAAATTAGTGGATTTTTGGTATAATAGTTTTTGTTGATATATGTATATATCAAGCTTTCCTGACGTATGGTCAACAATCAAGTTTACAAAAATGGTGTAATTTTTCTTTTAAATGTATTTTTAATTAATTTTTTATGAAACTTATGATTTGATGGTTGTACTTGGATCTTTCCATAATAGAAAATCTACCGGGACCTATAGAAGGATTAAAACTATCAGTATATCAAGTACTAAATGGTTTAAAGGTGTTGTCATGTTTTAGTGTAGTTTTATATATGAGGTATATTTCTTCAATAGAGTAAAAATGTTATTACTCAGTTATTACATACAAGTTTAAGCTACATGAAACTGTTGGTAAAAGATGATGAGTACAATTTGGTATGAAAGTTAGCAAGATAATGTGAATTTTGGGGAACATAAATGTTGAAAATGCTTTGAAGGATGCAACATCTAGTTCTTAATTTGTTTTTTTGAAGTCTAACTGCAAGTTTTGATAAGAATATAAAACTGAAATTTTCTGTATAATTGTAGAAGTATTGAAGATGAAGGTTGAACCATTTTCTGATGAGAAGCAGGATGCTATGATCAATATCAAATTGGAGAAAAATGAAGATGAAGCTTTCACAATAACTGGTAGTAAGTACATATATATATATATATATATTTAGAATTTAAATGTTTTTCACCATAAATTGTGTCACATCTACCTATTTTAATTTAGCAGTGTGCCTGAATTTTTCATTATTCATTGATAATTATTTTTTTTAATACATGAATTCATTTCCTGTCCCAGGGATGTATATCAGTAACATTAAGTTCCATTCTCTTGGTTATTTTAGTGTTTGATTGCATCAAAACAGTTAATAAATCAAAATTTAATATTAAATAAGTTCTTAGTTTTATAAGGAAATGTATAAAACAATCCTTAATCTCCCCTAGCATGTGAATTGTGGTATTTGCTCTTTAGGTTTTCCTTTTTTACCATCCCTGAGAAATACAGAACATACTGCAAATTACTCACCCTAATACAATCTCAACTGTTAGTGAAGATATAAACTAGAAAATCAGATGCATTTGCTACATCCTTCCCTTTACATACTGTCAATAGTTGTCTCAAATGTTTTAAGCTCCATTATTGATATTAAATATTACATATATTATGGAGAAAGTTTTGATGTATCAAATGACTTTTTTTTTCCTGTACAGAGAGTTATCTATTTTGCTTCCAATTCTAAATTGTTTCTCACAAGAGTCACATTGACAAACTTAGCTGAATTTTTAAAGATTTTTATCACATAGTTAGAAAGCCAGAGGAATTATGATCGTTATTAAGCATTGTTCACTTCATGGAGTTTTACTCTATGTTCTTAGGTACATTATTTGAATAAATAAAAATTTAGCATAGTAGTTACCATCAATGTAAAAAGTAGACTTAAGTTTTATTCACAGTGAAGAGCAAAAACAAGACTACCCAAATAATTACTACATTTTTTGTTTTTTATGTATATTCTTTATTTATTATTTTAAAAATAAACTGTTATATTAGGTAAGGTAATGAAGAATGACAATAACAAAAATTCTTTGTGGGGTATGCTTGCAAGGATCTTTTGTGTTATGTAGTTTGATATGGTAACATGAGCTACACATTCACTAAGTGATTTACCATGAGTATTAGTCAGAGAGAGTTCAAAAGGCTATAAAACAGTAAAGAGTGTAAACTGATGTATATTGTTACAAGCTTTAAGCTGTGTAGTATAAGCAACTGCTTTCTAGAAAGAAACAAATGGTAATTTAGATTTTTTTTTTATGGTGGTTATGAGGTTGGATAAGTTGACTGAACAGTTAGGGACTTAGGGTAGAGAAAGAAATTGAACAATTATTCAGAAGGTTTTAGATGTTATGCAAACAAAAATTTGTATAAGTATTTTTAATCTTAACATGAAAATCACTTTGTACTTGGAGCAGTCATCACTCTGATGAAATGCGTAAAAAGTTATAGTATGGAAACTGACCTTGGCTACCTGTTTAGCCACCGTTTGGGACTACAGCCGACCATGTGCGTAACAGTCCAGGTATATTTTTAGAACATGCCCTTTGCTGGTAGCTTATACTTTTCTATGCACCAGTATATCATGTAAGAAATTATAGAAAAGGCCTGTTCAGCTATATACACTGTATGGATTTTGATTATGATTAAGTGATGCATAAGTTATAATGAGTATTATTATAGAGAAATCTACATTGTTTGTATTTGTAGCTACATTAACTGCTAATTACATGGAAGAAAGATCTATACATACCCTTTTGAAGTTTGGTATAATAAAGGAGGAGACAGAAGATAACTATGATGGAGCAACAATGAAAACTGAGGTAATTTGGAGATTGAAACTTTTGCAGTTGTGTTGTGTAAGAGAATAACTAGTCTAATTTGTCTTTCTGTACATTTTATTGAGACTAATTGATAATAACATGTTTGTTGTCACAAGCTAAAGAAATTCACTACAAGTTTGCTGTGAATAAACTCTTTACAGTTCTTCTTGCCACAGTGATATTGCTTGTCCACAAGTGTATCATTGTTGATGGTTCCATAGAACTTACTGTTAACTTTTTACTAAGTACTTGCACAAGCTGTTTAAAAAAGAATGTAAAATTTTGTATTTTCCTTCTGATTATAAAACTTCTCTTACTTTGTGTTGAATCGGCCATTATATTTATAGTGGTTTTGTATGCCAAATTAAGCCTAATTAAGAGCCACAACACACAGTTTCAGTTCATAACTGTATGATAACTTTGCATCTTCACTATAGCCCGATAGCAGAGATTCTATTGCAAAAGGCTCTATTTTAAGGGTGTAATGTTCCAACCTGCATTCCTTCCATAATCCATCTAGTGTACCAGAGTGATAATTTACAAGAACCTTTTTCAATAGTTCAGTTTCACAGAACTGTGTAAGCACTACATCTGGTATCTCAATCGATATGCCTTGGAATGGAATTGTATGAAAACACATTTCATTCTTTTTGTGCATGAAGTAATCAACAGTTGAAATGATATGTTGTGGAAGCTGCTTGTGAAAATGCGAGCTATTTTGCTATTCCATCAAAGATCCTTTTTGATTATATTGTTTGCTGTTGTCTTGGGCACATGGGTGACTCTTGCCACTTACCTTTGTGTTCATGGATTCTCTTTTGTTACATACAAGATGACACACTTTGCTTACCACACCTAGGTTTCAACTTATTGTAGATTTGTCTGGATGTTTCTAGCTGTAGTTGGTTCATTAATGGTGTTTACTAATCAATTAACTAGTGAGCTCATTAACACTTTCATTACAGGCATTTTTTTGGTGCATGGCATGAAGTTTTAGTGAGTTATATTAAAAATTTATTTTAACTAATTTTGTTATCATTGTTATCATGAATAAATATAGAATAAAAACTGAGCTAATAACCCAAAATCTTAATAGAATACAAATTTTAAAATACTCATTATAGTGGTTTCATTGCTGAGGCAAAACGTAATTGTCATAGAACTTAATATTATTCAGTTACAGAGCAATAAAATAAAAAATGAGACCCATCTTTTCCATACACACCTTTCAGAAGTTGTCAATAGTTCTCTGTGAAGTTTAATACAATATTACTTATCACCAATAGAAAGCAAAAATTTTAATCTGTCAAATGACATATTACATTACTTTGTTTTCTGTACTGAGAATTATCTATTTCTCTTCCTGTTCAAATTTGATTCCCTTAGGAAACTTGTTGATGAGCTTAGCTGAATTTTTAACAACTTTTATGTCATAGTTAAAAACCAGAAAAAATGAGATAGTTAAGGGACATTGTATGTTTTTTGCATGTTATTATTGTGTCTTGTGGTGCAATATTTAATTAGATAAAAATTTATTTAGTGCAGTATCATTAATATAAAAAAAGTAAAATGTCATTTGTAGTTGAAGCAAAAAAAAGAAGACCTAGATAGGTACTTTATTTTTTGTTTTCCATGTGTATTCTTTCTTTATTATTATAAGAAATGAAATATAAAAATTAAACTTTTTATACCAGGTAAAATAAAGAATAATAATAATTTTTGTGAGGTACACTCCTGAGTAGCCTGTGCATTATATAATTTGATAGATTAATGTCAGTTATGTGCTTGGCAAATGACTTACAGCTTTTATGGCTTTATTGATTACTTTTAGACCACTGAAAGTTGATGTTGCACAGTGGGCAGCCTAAAGGTATATCTGTTAATTTGTACTTCCTATTTATTCTAAAATGTCATTTTATTTATTAAAAATGTGGAGATTAAGAACGATATATCATGTAGATATAATTTTAGTAATATTACTTCTTCACTAAGAGTTAACTGCTTCCACAACTGCCATAGAATTTCATGCATATACAACTAGCCTTGAACAAACTCCCACCTTTACATGTATCTACATCTATTGCACTGGCCTGTGATGCAGTTGTCATAATGCTATATCCCTCTTCCAATATGAAGGTGATACAACTTCCATGGGTAGTATTTCCCATGATCATTATTCTTCAGTAAAAGGTTTATGTTTTTCCTTAGTACTGCCTATGTTCAGTGCTTTTTGAATTTCAAGTTACGTTGATCAATATTCTTTCTATATTTAGGGCTAAGTTTCTTTGTCCTTGTTGCAGTTTGGTTCTATCCATCTGTTTAAAACTTCATTTTTTGTAGCCACTGCATTTGTTCTTTATGTGACTTATCACAATAAATACATGAAATAGTCTCTTTGCCCAGACATTCCCCCTTTTTTTCAGCTGTTTTCTTTCTCTCATCATCATCCAGACATTTATTACTTTTCATATTTGTGTTCTATATGTTATAATGTCTGCTTAACGTCTTCCCTGACCTCTCCTTTTTCCAAAGATATGGGCTGCCTGACAAGATAATCAGTTATCTTTTTCTCATATCTTCCCTTTCACAGGTTGGGTTCATCAGCTGATTCATTTGGCATATTTAGTTAAGTACAAATAGATGCTTAGTAATGTAGCACATTACACCCCTCAACAATATATATATTAAGCAATTCCCTTTGGATGTGTCCAGTTGTACTAAGGTTGGATTTGCCTTGTAATGCATGTGATGGTTCCACCCAGTCCATATTTCCCCAAGTAATCATAAAGCAGTACACAGAATTTTGCAAGTTATCAGTAAACATTACAAGGCATTCGTACACAAAGTATAAGATTTTTTTAATCAAGTTTTAACATTTTGTAATTAATTATTTGCTCATGCATTTTTGTTTTTCAAATATTGACTACCCAACATGTGAAGTAATTTTAATTTTGAGATTAAAAATACTTTTATGCACCAGAAAATTGTCAAATTTCATATGCAAAATCTCTGTTACCTACTAATATCTTTCAGATAATTATTAAACGTTTTTTCTGGAAAAAGACTATTTTTATTGTTATTTTTACTTTTGTATCCCTGTATGGGTTTGGTTGATTTGACAGATCTCGTAACTACCATAAAAAATAGGAAACAGATATAAATTATGCTTTTTTTTTCATTCTAGATATAGTACATATTATAATGCAAAACCACAAATTTGGAGTCTAAATAGGTTAAATCTCATAACATTATACTTATATAAAAATTTATTGTTTTAATTTTATTGACATTTCAGCAGTGTCTGACTAACATTACAGAAGTTGAATGATACAGTGCATGAGCACTCGTCACTATATCCAATAACTTAAAATTTGCTTTTGCAAAGTAAAATGTTTGTTATAAATCGTAAATTATTACTATCTACAAATAAGTTCTTAAATTTCTGTTATTTTTCTTAAAACATAGAATTGTAAATAAAAAAGTATGGAAAACAGGTATCTCTTCCAGTTATGAACTTTGTACTTGTTTGCTGCTTGCCATAATTTGCTAAGCCTTATCAAATTTTGCTCATGGAGAATGTAAACTAAAATATTATTTTTGGTTTTATATATGCATTTTAAAATAATAAAAAATCGTAAGTTACCATATCACTACCACAGAATTCTACTATAATTTATTAGGCTTAGTAACTAAGCTGTATTTGGGTTTTAAAAAAATGATTTTTCAAGTTTAATAATGTCTTACCTTACTACTTGGAATCTACCATGAAAAGAAAGGGTTTCCCACATAAATACTTCACAGAGGTTCAGATAACATCACAGACATCTAATTTGAACCAAAGCTTCATTCAACATACTACATGACACAGAAAAATCAATATTTAGGAATTGTTTTTAATATTTAATTTTAAATTAAATAATACCAAAATTTGAATTATAATCTACACTTTGATCACCAACTTATTGATATACCCTCATACAATAGTAGTTCAATAACATTTTGAAAGTAAGTCTACAAACATGATGACATGGCCTGTGACCTTAGCCACCCTATACATTCTAATATTCTACCCAACCTGACAACATGCAACAACCAGTAATTTATTTTCTTGATGACCTTTGCTGTACAGTCACAGTAATTTAATGTTAAAATCCCACTTAGTATTCTTTAGATAGATGCAGTCTCTCACAGTTTACTGCTCCACTTGGTAACTCCAATATCATGGAAGCCAAATCTCATAAGCTTTTTCTTTTTGTTGCCATTTCAGAAAGGTGCCTATCTTTGTAACTGATTAGCACCTGCCCTTCAACTATCATTAATGTTGGATTCTAGCTGTTAGTGGGTTAGAGAGATGTGTAATGTTTCTGAAGTTAACATTTTGCTTTGATAGGAATTGAAGTTTATGATTATTAATAATATGATGGCAACAAAAAAAGTGAGATGGTAACTAATATTTAATTCTTGAATATCTTGGGATGTATTCGTTCCATCTTCAGTAAGATTGTTAAAGTTCCCACATTTTATGAAGGGTACTTTTTAAGTAGTTTTAGTACTCTTTTTACATACAAAACTAAGTTTGAAGCATTAGGTTTATTAATTATGTTATCATGTTTTAAACTAGTAAACTATAGAGACTATGTGTAATGATAACACTGGCTGTTATTTTTATTAACTTTTTGAATATGTTTTTTGATTTTAGAACATATTTGTCCAAGAGAAAACAGAGCATCCTGGTGATCTGTTAGAAGATGATGTTATTTCAAAGTTCAGTGACAACAATGATGATGTTCTAGATAATTCAAACTATAATGATATGGATGCAAAAACAAAAACTGAATTCCAAGAAGAAATTAAATCTGTGTTAGAAAGTACATCTGGTAAGGACATACATCTAAAACTCTTATGTGCATTGATACTGGGTTAAAAGAACTGGTTAATTTCTTGGCATTTAAAAAAAAATTATGAACTGTATGAGTGTTAAGACTTTGGTGTACTCTTTAGTAGTTCTTGAACTTTTGATATATTCTTATCAATCATTAATTCTAGTACCAGAAAATTCATAATTAAATCTGAAATTTATTTTTTTTTAGTAATTTTAAACACATGGCTTTTAATCATAATCGTAGTAAGTGTTGGATGTATATATATTTCACATTGTTAAATTGCTGAAATGTTTGTTTATTTACTGTTTGTAGGGTAGTGCTTTGCTTCAGCTCCATTTCCTAAATTCTTTGATAGTAGAAACCAATTGTATCTCCACGTAATCCAAAATTCAGGGCTTGGTTCCCACGGGAACCACATCGTAGATGGTTGTTGATAGCTAGCAGTTTGTAGATGCTTCTATAATTCTGTTTTTTCATACTCATTTCAATTTCACATCAGTGTGTTTTGTATGGTAATGTTTGTATTGTTGTAGCAGTTCCTGCACATTGGTTTTTTTCTCTGTCTTGGGTTTGGGGGTTTGTGTGCCTTGTCACTCTAGAATTTCTGACTGCACGATTTGGCCTTTCAGGGCATGGCTGTCCTCATGGGCTTTTCCCTAGTTCTTTGGCTGTTTGGTGTTGTTGGAATGAGACATGCTGCTTGTGGGGGTTCATCTTCCCACAGGGATTTCAGACTGGTTCCATTTCTGCATGATACCGTTTTTGGGGCTGTCTTGCTTCTTTCAAGTCCTGTATTGAAGTGGCCAGCTTGCATACTTCCCTTTCATCTTTTACCTGCATCTCGATGTTCTCATCCTTTTCCATGTCCATCATGGAAGTTGATGGTGATTATATTCAGTGGGGACTGGGTTCCACTAGTTTGTCAATGTTTTGGAGACTTTCACTTCTATTCTGTGGTATCTATGAGTTTTATGTAAGGTTTGTCTCTTCACTTCTGGTCGGGCACCACCCCATTTATTGCCTACTGTTCCTTTCCCTCCTCCAAGGGATCCTGTCTCACACAATGGGCTGTCCACTGTTGGGAGATACCTTCTTTTACTGAGAGCTATTTTATAGGTGTTACCAGTTCAGGTGGGTTTTTCTTTTTGGCTTTTAGTTATTTTCTAGTGAGGGAAGATAAGTACCTATCAGAAATTAATTTTCATTGTAAGACAATTATCACTATCCAAGGGTGATTTTAATTCATGTAGTAAAAAACTTGTCTCTAACTTTGATTGTTATTTACATTTTGTTTTCATTGCTAGTCAGATTCAGGTGAATAAGTCTCTAAAGTGTGAAAATATGAAACCTGTACAGTAACTAGTTTGTAGCTTTAATATATCATATTGGTATTTGTATTAATCATATTAGAACATTAAACATGTTTAGAAGATCATCATATTTATTATTATTAACTATGTAGTGGCATAATTTATATCTATTTTAGATATGAAGACCAGTGTGAACATGTGTTGTGAGAATCAGTGTCCTGGTTATCATGTTATGAAACCAGAAGATCACTATACAGAAGTTATAAAATCCTCAAAACCAAACAACACTATATGTGGAGAAACAACTGTAAATGGAAGTAATCTAAAAGAATTTGATATACCTCAGTGTAATGGTAAAACATATAGTTGTGTAGTCAGTGGAAAAGAATTTAGAACAATGGATAATCTAACACAAGAAAAGAGGATACAATCTGGAGAGAAACCATATCATTGTGCAGCTTATGGAAAAGATTTTGAGAGAAATGGTTCCTTAAAACAGCATGAAAGAAATCACACTGGGGAGAAATCATACAGTTGTGGAATTTGTGAAAAACTGTTTGTATCAAAATATAACTTAAAAATACATCAAAGAATACACACTGGGGAGAAACCATACAGTTGTGAAGTTTGTGAAAAACAATTTATATCAAAGGGTGAATTAAAAAGTCATTTAAGAACACACACTGGGAAGAAACCTTACAGTTGTGCAATTTGTGAAAAACATTTTGTGTCAAACAGTACTTTAAAAATACATAAAAAAATACACACCGGGGAAGACCTAATCAGTTGTACAATTTGTAAAAAACAATTTAGAACAAATGGCGAGTTAAAAGAACATCAAAGAATACATACTGGGGAGAAACCATACAGTTGTACAGTTTGTGGAAAACACTATGGTAAAAAGAGTATCTTAAAAATACATCAAATCATACATACTGGGGAGAAACCTTACAGTTGTACAGTTTGTGATAAACAATTTGGAACAAGGGGTAACTTACAAATACATCAAAGAACACATACTGGTGAGAAACCATACAGTTGTACAGTGTGCAGAAAACAATTTGGAACAAGAGGTACCTTAAAATTACATCAAAGCATACACAGTGGGGAGAAACCGTACAGTTGTATGGTTTGTGAAAAACAATTTAGAACAAGGAATGACTTAAAAATACATCAAATAACGCACAGTAGTGAGAAACCTTACAGTTGTACAGTGTGTGGAAAAAACTTTGGTAGAAAGAATAACTTAAAATCACATCAAATAATACACACTGAGGAGAAACTGTACAGTTGTGCAGTTTGTGCTAAAAAATTTAAAAGAAACGATGAATTGAAAAAACATCAAAAGACACACATTAGTAAGAAAACTTACAGTTGTTCAGTGTGTCAAACACACTTCTGGACAATGAATAGCTTAAAATTACATCAAAGAATACATACAGAAGAGAAACCTCACAGTTGTGCTGTATGTGGAAAACATTTTTTTGGAAGCAGTAACTTCGAACAACATCTAAGAACACATACTGAGGAGAAACCTAGCAGTTGTGCAGTTTGTGGAAAACAACTTGGTTCAAAGGATGAATTAAGAAGTCATTTAACAACACACATTAGGGTGAAACCTTACAGTTCTGATGTTTGTGGAGAACGATTTCTTGGAAGTAATAACTTAAGACAACATCAAAGAATACATCCTCGTTGGAAACCACACAATTGTTCATTTTGTGGAAAATATTTCAAAAGAACTGTTGAATTAAAAGTACATCAAGAAATACACACTAGGGAGGAATTTAACATTTCTGTAGCTTCCATACCTCGGCAGTCAAGTATGGGGGATTACAATACTACAAATTGGATTTTGATACCAGTAATTGACTCGACATATTAAAAGGACAACAAAGGACCCTTTGGTTCATCTACATCTACCACAAGTACTCAAATCCTGAAATGCAGCATTGAAGCCCATAATAAATTACCACTGTTCCACCAGGGAATCTACTTTATGTATATATTCATCAGGAACTGAAGTCAAGGTTTTAAATATGGAAGCAAGAACCTTGCAGGAAGTGTTGCTTATTAATAGATTTTATCTTCCTCATTTACTTCATGTAAGGCTTTATCAGAAACTCAAAATATGGATTACAGGTTTATGATCTGTTATTGCAAACAAAGATCACCCTCAGCAATTAGGACCATCAGTTAGGAATGAGAGTGATGGTCAAATCATATATATTTGGTCTGACAAGTTATGGTAGTGAGTGGTAATGACTAGCTGCCTTCTCCTTAGTCTGTCACTACAAAATTAGGGATGGCTAATGCAGATAGTCCTGATTGAGGGCTTTGAAACATTCAACAAACATACACTAACATGATCAATTCATGTACTCAAAGAATAAATGGTTGTTATTCTAATTGTATGACTTTGTTAACTACTGTTGGAAAATGTACCTTAGGTTCTTTTTATTTCTTGGGAATCAATTTACCTTTCAATATCTATATATGTTCTTGTACATGGAACATTACACCTAAACAGCAATAAGTCTTTGATATTTATAATTATTTTCCATATTTCAGTTTGAAACATTGATTATCTATCATCTACAAATTATTTTATATTTCTTACAATATAATCATGTTAGTAGTGTGTCTGGCTGCTGATTTTCTGATGTTTTTATTTACTTTTAATGTATAATGTTTTAATTGTTGCATTAAAATCATTTTATTTTTATGGATGTTTTAAAGTGAAATGATTATTGTTTTAATCACCCCTAGGGTAAGAAATATCTTGTCTCAAAACTGTTATTAACTATATTTTATTTATTATGAAAGTTGTCACTGGTTAACTTTCAAATATTTGGTGTACTTATGGAGTTTATGAAGTATGTTTATGTAAGCTTTAATTTGCAAATTGAAGAGTAGAATATGAAGATTTTAACCAATAAGTAATAAATTTATATGAAGATATTACCAAAGAATTAAGTTAGCAAACTTATTAAGAAATGTAATTATTTTAGTCCTGTTTCTTTGTAACTAGCTGGAGTGAAAACTCGTTTGTAACAAAGGATAGGAAATTGTGCTTCTATTTTCTTTTCTTAACATAATAAATATAAAGGTACCAATACTGAAAAGAAAGACATACTGTTTTCAAGAATTCTAGCAATATGAAATTATATTGGGGGGGGGGGGGGTTAACCTACCCCCTCATGTCATCCTGTATCAAATTTGGTGCTGATTGATCAAGAAAAGTAGAAACGAGTAAGGAACAGATAGACACACACACACACACACACATATTGACGTTTATTTATATAGATTAATGACTCATTTGCCATTTTTAATCAAAATGCTTTTTTATTTCATACTATAATTAGGCACAAATATTAACAATAAAGCACAGTAGTTAAATATAAGTAACTGATGACCTATATAAGTAATTGAAACTTTCGTTATTTGTTAAAGAATGTAATGCCTACTGTAAAATAGAATGCATTCTCGAAAAGTTAAGCAATATACAATTTCACTCAAGGACACCTTGGACACGCTAATAACTGTTAAACTCTTCAGTCTCTTATCTGCCATATTGGTTCTAAGGTGTTTTTGATCAATTTTAGTGGATGTATTAACTTGGAAAGTTATTGCTATCTTTATAACGTTGTAAAATTCAGTAAAAGCCACAAATATGGGTTTCAGATGCTCTGAAAATTCCTCGTTTGCTTCAAATGCCACTCATTCATTCTCTTAGCTTGTCTCTTTTCCATTTGTATAGCTTCAAGATTCAGCCTATAATGGGCTGCAAGAGTTTTAATTGTCTCAAAATTCAGGAATTTTTCAGGCTTGGTGTCAATTGCTGAAAGGAAGAGGAAATTTGGAGATTTTTCTCCACTAAATTGTTTAGTTCTTCAAAAAAACCATCAGTGGATGGAAACAAGATGGCTCGTGTTATATCTGATAAATCTCTTATGACATCTCGTTTTCCCAAGTCTGGTTAGAACTACAAATTAATCTATGTATGAGGGGATGGAGCTCTGTAACAGACTCCTACGGAAACATTTCAGGTCATTTCTGATGTCACAAGAATGCAGCTTTCTCATCACATCTGTAGGTTTGCAACTCTGCTAGAAGACATTCAATGATATCTGCTGTTTTTAAGTAATCTAGCTTGGAGCATGGCAGCATATCTGTTGCTCCTTTTGCTTAAAGTAAGATGCCATTCAGAAACAGCACAGTTAATACATCTTATTGCCTTTTCATTCAATAATTGTTCCACAGTGGGACAGCGGTAAGCCTCGGCGGACACAGCAGATAACCTGAAGTGGCTTTACTATAAGACAACACACACACATTAAGTTTAAGAGGTACCCACTTAACTTACGAACAACTTACAGTGGTGCAAGTTAAGCAAAAATCACAAATTAAACTAAGACCTGACATTAAAAGTTATATTACAATGAAAAACTTGGCAATGGCACTATGTATAAAATCGTGTTCAGGCTGCAAAAGTTTCTATATAGGAGAAACAGGTTAGAAAATAAAGACCAGATGTAAGGTAAATTAAATTGAAAAGAGTTTAAAATATTGAATTATGTGATATAGTGAGAACTTCAAACTAAAGAAAAATATGAAAGCACTGAGCATTGAAGAATTAAAATCTCACATTAATAAAACACCTAGAGCGCCATTATATTTATAACAAGTTAATTTCAAAACAAGAGGAAGCTAGTGCCATAAATATAACACATTGGTGTCAGAAAGTGGGATAAAAAAAAAGAAGAAGATGGAAACGAGAAGCGGCAAATCAAACTACAGCTTAGCAGATTTGATGGCAGCAATACAAGAACAGCAAAATAAACAAGAGAAGTTACAGCAGTTGTTGGAGGAAAAACAAAAGAAACAAGAGAGAGAGATTACAACAGTTGTTGGAGGAAAAAGAAAAGAAACAAGAAGAGAGATTACACAAGGAGGATACATTAACCATCGACTTAATCAGCCCCAGACAATGGCAAGCCCATTCCAGAGCCCGCAGCTAAACCCTAATGCAGACATC